GTTAGAAAAAAAATATTGATGGAATACGTTGGATTTAGAAAATAATTTAATACATTTATAAACATAATATTTGATTTTGTGAAAGACAATTTTGTATTAATAATTTTATAAGTTTTACTAATTTATTTATTTTCAAAAATTCTGCAACATTCTGCAAGATTCTGTTGTTACCATTTACATTCAAAGTTATTCTACCAGATTCCGCATAAATTCATCAAAAATTCTACAAGATTATGCAATTCCGCAAAATTCCTCTGATACCATTTACACCCTAAATCATATATATGATATTTTGATATTTATTACAAATATATGTAAAATGAGTTATTGATATTACTCTGTATTCTTCTAAATGGTTACATTTATCCTCAAAAATTATTTTTTTTTGCACTTTATTCCTCCTATTCAGCTTATTCCTCTCACTACAACTATTCCACTCATTTTCATTTCACCTAATATCCATTTAACCCGTTATGGTCCCCTGTGTGAGGAGACGTATGGGGATAACTGATTTACGTTTACAATTAGCAAATGATTTTGTGGTTGAGACTTCTTACGTTAAAATGTTTTTTACGATATGGAGATATATAAGATTATATATAATTGAGTCGCATTGGGATATATATTGTTTTGTGCCACAGGCAGGTATGTCAAGTGCAACGGAGACGTTATGTGGACAAGCATACGGTGCACAACAATATGACATGATGGGGATATATCTACAACGTTCTTGGTTAATAGACATGGTTGTAGCCACTCTCTTTGTTCCTTTCATCGTCTTCGCGGGTCCTATCCTCCGGTTACTAGGCCAAAACATTGAGATTACCAAGACGGTAGACGAGATCTACCCTTGGGTCATCCCTTATCTCTACAGCCTTGTGTTCACCATGACAATGCAAATGTACCTCCAAGCGCAGATGAAGAACGCCATCATAGGCGTTCTCTCGACCCTAGCCCTGGTCTTGGACATTGCGGTCACGTGGTTGTGTGTGAGCGTGATGGGGATGGGGATACATGGTGCGCTTCTAGGGCTTAATGTAAGCTCGTGGACAGTGGCAATAGCCGAGTTTGTTTACGTTTTTGGAGGGTGGTGCCCGCATAGTTGGACCGGCTTTAGCACTGCTGCTTTTGTTGATCTTGTTCCCCTGCTCAAGTTATCGATATCCTCTGGATTCATGCTATGGTAATATTCTTTGCCTGTGGGATAACAAACTGATGACTAATCTCAAATGACAATTTCTAATGACTCCTCTTGTGTTTGCTTCTTCTCTTATTTTTTATGCTTGGAAACAGCTTAGAGTATTGGTACATGAGCATCATTGTCTTAATGTCCGGATATACAAAGGATGCGAATATTGCAATTTCTGCCTTCTCCATATGGTATAACTAATTGAAATCTACCATGGAAAAAATAAATGATATTTGAAAGGTTGTAATGTTTTTATACCATTGAAAACTAAATCCTCAATTGAATTTTGCAGCCAATATATATTCGTATGGGAGATGAACGTAAGCTTTGGCTTGATGGGTGCAGCATGGTATGTAACTATGAATATATATACACTCATTTAATAAATTTTAAATTAATTAGAAGTATATACATATATACATATTCTTTGTTTAATTCTGTAGTGTTTTCTCTATCTCTCAATCGGAAAATGTAGTGTTCGAGTGGCCAACGAATTGGGAAAAGGAGATGCGAATGCGGTGAAATTCTCCATAAAAGTGGTGCTTGTGGTATCAACAGTGATCGGTGTGACATGGTCTGCTCTTTGCTTAGCTTTTGGCGGTGAGATTTCGTATCTGTTCTCTGATAGCCACAAAGTTTCGGAGGCAGTCAGTGATCTCTCCATAGTCCTTAGCATATCCATTCTCTTCAACATCATCCAGCCCATTCTCTCTGGTTAGAAAATTAAACCCTTATTATATTAGGCATATATAAGTATATAACATACAGTTTTAGGTTTCACTAATTTGTGAATACATCAAAAGTTTAATGTTTGAATATAAACAGGGGTTGCAATTGGAGCAGGGATGCAGACTATTGTAGCATTTGTGAACTTAGCATCTTATTATGGAATTGGTATACCTTTCGGTGTCCTCCTTGTTTACATTTTCCAGTTGGGTATTAAGGTACGTATACATTCTTAAAATTAACATGCTAATTGATTAATATCCATAATTACGTTATCATCAAAAGATGCATAGAACTATCAACTAATTATGATAATGAAATTCTATTGTATGCTTTTAATTACAGGGACTATGGTCTGGGATGTTGGTTGGAGTTGGTATACAAACTTTGATATTGTGTTATGTTATATACAAAACTGACTGGGAAATGGAGGTAATTTATTTTAACCTTCACTCTTAATTAATTCGAATATATGATGATCAATAGAGTTCAATAGATAAAAAAAAGTTAAATCTTATCTAATTACAGGTTAGGAAGACGAACGATCGTATGAAAACGTGGTCTCTAAAGTCATCTAATGTAGAATCGAGTACTCTCTCGACGAGCGATGAAGAGAGGAAGTGATAAACGTAAATTTTAAGGAGTTTTTTAAAAGTATATTCTTTTTTTCTTTTGAAGAAAAAATATTTGTGTTATTTTTTGTATTCGCTTGAAAAAATGAAGTATCAGTGTTGAGATTGCATTATTAGCTTAATGCGATTCTCATAACTTTGAAAAAAGGTTAATGAGATTGAACTTCCTTTTTCTATAGGTCGTTTTTATTTGCCTTTTTTACTTATCTTTTTTCTTAAAAAAAAATCATGGGAGGGTTGGAATTTAATTTTATTTGAGTTTTGGTTGGATGTATATTTTGGTTGTGGAAAAAAATTATATTGTTTAAGTACTTGTAATCGTGATTTGTTTAAAGAATTCTTTTGTTTCACGGAAATATTATGAAAATTTCCTCACCTTCGCATTTGGTAAGAAACTTGTTTAGTTTACATCAGTCAAATCTTATCCTTTTTTTCTTTTTCTTTCATCATCATTTTGAAGATGTTGATCAAAACGTTTCGATTCCATCTCTTATTCATTAATTAGTAGTACAAGTAAATAGTAAGTGTTAATGGGATCATATTCCAAAGGTGAGAGCTGAGTTTTTTTCCAAACATGTTACACTACCTCTATTCATACCGGGAGGATACGTACTTTCCTTACCTTTGTCTTCTATATCCTAATTTGTCGATTTTTAAATATTGAAAGATTGAATACCTTTATATAATTAGTGAAACCAAGTCTTATAAATGGTTATATTTCACGTTAATACATATTGTGGACTGCTCTCGATTATATATCGTAACCGATGACATATTTGTTCAACTTACAATTCAATATTATGAATGATTTTTGTGTTGGCAATCCATGCAACTATGAGGGGATTAAGGGTGGTTGAATATTCAACATCAGGTTGAACGTGAGATCAGATTGAACGTGATGATGCATCATCGTTATATGCGGTTAGGATGCGACGAGATGTATTTATTAGAAAATGATTTTGGTTTAACAACAACATAAATTATAATTAGCATTGAAAAAAGCGTTGCGATGTTTTTTTCGATTTGTAGGCATAATGATATTCAACGAAGTCTTGTCACGAATTTTGGTCATAACTACAAGAAAACATGGTTAAAACCGACGGCATTTTCGACGGATTATAGCCGTTAGATATTTTCGACATATTACCGACGTTATTCCGACCGAACATAAACCATAGAAAATCCGTCAGAAGTTTTCGACAAAAAACCGACGGCATGATATCTGTCGTAAACCATAAACTGACCAAACTATTCCGTCGGTTTATTAACCGACGGATTTCCGACACCTTTGTTTTTGCCGACATAAAAGAACTATGCGACATAAATATCATCTTCCAACGGACATTACGTCGGAAATCCGTCGGTTATTTTTTAATACATAACAAAAATCAGACATCCTTTTCCTTTTTCATTCATTCTACTCCGAAAATATAAGAACAAAAGGGTGAAATATGGCTTCTTCTTCAAATCCATTTAACTATTTTCGATCATGGATGGACAAACCAATGCGAGATGAAGCAAGCGGATTGGTAACAGAGAAGTACGAAGCTGGGATTAAGAATTTTATGGAACATCTTGGGCAAAATTCTCAAGTCATGCGACAG